ATGACCAATTTATTATTGTTTTTGGTTTTGGAGGGATTATTATTAGGCTCTGTGTGGAGTAAGAAAACTTGCCCAAGGTTTCGCCCTCTGCCTGGAATTGAACTCAGGTCTCTCGCTTGCAAAGCGAGTGTGCTAACCACTGAGCTACAGGACTTCACAAGATGGGGATAAGGCAGGTAGGTTGAGTTAGATCAGCCATGATCTTATTGAATGGCGGGGCAGGCTCGAGGGGCCGAATGGCCGACTCCTGCTCCTAATTGTTATATATTGTTGGAATGGAATGCGCACTCTCTGCCCGGAGGGACACATTCTGCTTACCTAATTCTGGAAATTATTAGGTGCAGATTGGCAGGAGCCAAGACTTGGGGACCTCCGAGTGTGCTGGTCATTGGTCATATCGCTAACTGGCAAGCTTTCCCACTGCTTGTCCAGCTAGGACCATCCTACCCGTTAGGGCTTTGGCTTGTATCAGGACTTTGAACTCTTAAACTGTAGGCTGACACTTCAGTACAATGCTGAGGATGTGCCGTACTGTTGCAGGCACTGTCTTCCTATTGAGGTGAACGTTAAAGATCTCGCGGTACACTTCGGAAATGAAGGGAATTTTCCGTGTTCTGGCCAAAAATCTCCCAAATACATTTGGCCAATCAATTTATGGCACTTTGAGACATCCTCCTGATATGAAAGACACGATTAGATCAAATGTAAGGATTAGTAGCAGTATTAAGCCAGTCCCTCCTTACCCAGATCCTTCCTGGGGGACTGGGATGTTTAACGTTTTTTAAGACTTTTAATTAATCTTTATATACGTTTAGAATGTAACCTACCCATAATCCTTTAATAAGGTTTGTTTGATTTAATGACTAGCTTAGCAGGTGTTAAAAGTAGCTTCGCTGGACCAGTTTAGGTCAGCTTCTGATTAAACGGCTACAGCCTCAACACTCGCCTATCCCAAGGCTGGAAAGCAAGCAAGCTGTGGAGAAGTTGTCCATATCTCCCTCTCTCTCTCACTCAGTGGTCAGAGCACTCGCCTCGCACGTGAGAGACCCGAGTTCGATTCCCGGCAGGGCCAAACCTTGGGCAAGTTTCCTTACTCCACCCGCCTGATAATAATCCCTCAACAAAAAAAAATTTGGTCACTTTAATCCACGACTGTTTGTGGGACACTGCTGTGCGCAATTGGCTGCTGCGTTTTGCCCACAAACATACAGTCAATTCACTTTACAGTAGATGAGACCAACATTGGATTTCATCCCGCCCAGGTTCGCTTTCCTGGAATGGCAAAACCTCAGGCAAGTTTCCTTACTCCACCCACCTCTGTTTACCTAGCAGTAAGTGAGAATTTGGTTGTTAGTCGATCGGCAGATCACTTTTCCGTGGGCAATAATCCCTAAAATGAAAGGAAATGTAGATAATTATTTGGGGAGGACAAGTTTGCAAATGGCCGAATGGCCTCCTTCTGTGCTGGAAAGTTCTATGAAATAAATAAATCCAGTCACTCAATCCACAAGTGCTGTGCGCAGTTGGTTGCCGTGTTTCCTCCACAAAATACACAGACTACTTTTCAATACGTTCTGCGAAGCGCTTTGAGATGTCTCAACAACATGATAAGGTGCTATATCAAATGCAAAGATTATTATAATTATTCACAGGTAATTACTGTCAAGTTTGCAAGCAAACGTGGTTTGCTATTTGATCAAGCAAGTTGTTACAAACAGCCATGAGGTGAATGAACAATTAATCCAAAGAATGTTAGGCAGGACCTCAGGAGGAGAAATTCAAGGATTATTATTAACCAAGATTTGAGACTTCGACTCACTGGGAGGTTTGGTACATTTGTGGTTCTTAGACTCTGGGCTATAGTAGAGCTTGATTTGTGCAGCTTTAATTTGAATTGCTAATTTTGAAAGAAGCATTTGGTCATATTAGCTGAGACAAGTTCTGATATGCTAAGGTATTTACCTTGGAACAATTTTCTTTAACAGCTAATGTACAGTGCGCACTTGTAACCACAGTAATTCCTGATAAGGTTGAAATCTACATTCGTGCAAGTATTTTTGCAATAATTAGTTAGAAAAAAGATTTGAATAATATCGAAAGATATCAGTGGATGACTTGTTGACAGGATATGTGTCATTTATTTATTTATTTATTTATTTCATTTATGAAAACATTTACATTTGGTATTATTCCTTTCACGTCAGGAGGACGTCCTAAGGCGCTGGATATATTCACAGGATATACGGTGAAATGTAATCCGAAAAGGATTCAAACACATTAATTATGATGACCATAAAACTAGTTCATACTAAAACATGTTGATGTCCAATTTGAATCTCTCATATCATATGAAATTAATTAATATTAATAGCAATGAAGTGATTCTGTTAAGCTCAGTACTTTTGTTTGTGTAAGGAGCATTTGAACTGTTTTTCTATTTTACATTACACCTGATTTATAAAATAATAATTATAAACTGCACTTGATGTAGCATCTTTCTAATGGTAATAAAGGCAAGCGAAAGACATGAGTTTGATATCTGGCAAGACGAAATGTTGGGCAAGTTTCCTTTCTCCACACACTTCTGTTTACTTAGCAGTAAGTAGGAACCCGGTTGTTAGTCGATTGGTGGGTAATTCCTTCCAAAAAATGAAATAAAAAAAAAAAATTGTTCACTTCAATCCACGACTGTTTGTGGGACACTGCTGTGCACAATTGGCTGCCGCACTTTGCCCGCAAAATATAATAATACTTACATTTGATATAGCGCTTTTCACAACTTCTAGTCAATTCACTTTACAGTATATTCTGTGAAACGCTTTGAAATGTCTCAACAACGTGATAAGGCCCTATATCCAATGCAAGGATTGTTATTATTTATTATAATATCTTTCACAGAATAAAATACTTTAAAAATGCGACAGACCTTTGCGTAAAAGGCACATATGGAAAGTAATCTTTGTCAGCAATGTCGCATAAACAACAAGATGATGAATGACTGACTCATCTGCGATTTTGTTGAATTTTGGATAAGACACAAACATTTAAAAGGATATTGTGAGAATGCTCTGTTCTGCATAATTAGAGTCAAACTCTTTGTTTAAACAAGTAGACCGGATCTCAGTTCTTAATATCTTACCCGTAAAAAAGCAACATCAACAAACACAACATTTTTTTAAAAAAAGCAGTGTCACTTCTCTCCAAATAAAACAGGAAAAAAAATATTACATACATTTACCTTCTTAAAAACGATAGGTACTGTATGTGTAAAATTGAAAATACTGTAACTTACAAATTTCTTTGAGCAACGCCTTGGGTGAAGAGAAACGAGACAAAACATGCAATACTTTCTGACAAAAGTCCACACTTTGCGTGTCAGAACTACTGTGCGCTGCAAAATAAATCACTTTGTAATACCGTAAAAGACAGCCTTCCCCTGCAATTATTTTAGTCCAATCCTTTACATTGAAAGAAAGTAATTTAAAAAAATCTAGAGCCATGTCTTAATTTGGTAGCTACAACAAATAGCTATCAAATTTGATGTAAAAGCTACAAAAAAAGATGTTGCACTTCCGTCATCTTCTCACCACTGCCCTCCACCCCTCTTGACTCCAGCCCGCAGCTCAGATGCAAACCATTGACTGTTCAGTAACTCGCGACATCCTCAGAAGGTGAAAGGCACTATATAAATGCACTTTGCTGTTGTTGGCAAATAAATTCAATGGCGTAAATATGAATCCCTATTGCTGAATGCTCCTTCACATTCACAGAAAAATAAGAACATTCCACTGATGCACTGGTGTAGAATTTTGCCTGAAAGTAACTTAAAAATTACAACTAAAATTCAAATGTCAAAAGTAGGGGGGGGGGGGGGGAGTGGGGGAAGGTCACGTAAAAGGAAATGATAAAAACATGTAGCGTTAACACCACATTTGATATTGGATTGTAAGCAGGTTTGTCTATAAAGCCACCAAAATTCTGTAGAACAACACGATTGCATTTGTAGAGCGCCTTTCACGTCGGGAGGACGTCCCAAGGTGCTGGACAGTTGGGTCGGGACCCGAGCATTGGGGGCAAATGGTCAGGGTGAGGGGAGGGAAGGGTAGGGAGCGAGGAGCGGGTAGAGAGTCGAGAGGGGAGCTGAAGGCTCGGTCGAAGAGAAAGGTCTTGAGACCGGCCTTGAAGGAGGAAAGGGAGGTGGCAATTAATTCCTTCAAATGAATTAATTCCTCCAAATAAAATAATGATGCGTGACAGTAACATGCGAGACAGTTCAGCTTGGAAACGCTGCCTTTCCCCGTGAAATGCATTGCTTTGGCAGCTTTACAAGTCACCAGGGTTAGAGGGGAAAAACCTAGCAGAAACTTGACATGAATTAAAGCCAATGCATTACTTTCCCCCCCCACCCACCCGCAGTTTAGCATTCATTTCCCTCCCCAACAACAGCAACAGCAACAACAAAGCCAGAGTCTCAATTCTCCTGGAAAATCCCCCCTCTTTTTTTCCTGCTCTGTCGCGCGTTTGCATTAAGAGAACATATGAATTTACCTGCCCAGGTGTGTGGACAAGAGCCGTGTTACACACAGCAACTGTTTTGTTTGTTTTTGTTGTGGTTGCACACAGTTTTGCACTGTTTTTTTTTAAACCAGCTTTACCTTTGCAAGTCTCTCTCTCTCTCTCTCTGTTGCTTTACGAGGAGGCCGCCAAATTAGCCTCAGGGGAATGAATGCAATGAAATTCAGACAGAGAGAGAGAGAGAGAGTGGAGGGGTGTCAAGTGACTAACACTGCACAGGTGGGCCCTAATGGTGAGTGAGTGATATGAGCGAACACAATGTTCAGAGTTGCACACACATGTAAGAGAGAGGGCAGGACAGACCCACCTGATTGCAACAGGAGAAACGCCCAGATAAGGTGTGCAATGTCATTCATACTCTCCCACCGACACACCTACCGACCCACGTAAGACATGTTAACTAAGGGAGGAGCCGCTTTCTTAAAGGATGTGTCAGAGCCCAAACGGTAGCATTTTGCGCTGTCGGCGACGAGAATAAGGTGGGTGCAGCTCTGTCCGATGCATATATTGCAAAAAAATACAAGGAATAAATGGGACAAAACGTTTTCCGAAGGGCAGAAGCCAGACACTAAAGTTGCAAGCTCAGAGCAAGGCTTTATTTGTGTTTCTTTTATTATTCCCTTCGTCACTCGCCTCTGTTGGAGAAACGAAGACCTGGAGAAAGTATAGGTGGCTTTGAAACTCAATCATCTCAAGCTTCTTATCTCTCTCTCTCTTTCTCTCTCTCTCTCTCGCTCTCTATATATATAAAAGAAAACCAACAAGGACATTGACGAGTTCCAGACTGCCACAAAGTACACAGACTTGTAAGACATGGCTCTTCTTCAGCTGCTTAGAGGAGCGGTTCTCCTGAGTACTCTGCTTCTGGTAAGAGCATTATTTATTTTTATTTTCTCTTCCATTGTTTTTGACCATGTTTGTGGATATTGCTGTGGGTGCAACTGCCTGTTGCCCATAAAATGAACGGTCAGTGGAAAAACATTTTACAGTACATCCTGTGAAGCGCTTGAGATGTCTCCGCGACGTGATAAGATGCGATATCAAATGTAAGGATTATTATTATAACCCAGCGTGTTATTTTCAAATGGTACCGGAGTTTATTTTATCACCCAAATTGAACTCTTTGGCTTCACGTCCTCGGGCAGCACTTAACGGCAACGGAGCCTGATGCCGAGCCAAGGTGGAGAAGGTGACAGTGAGCACAGTCAAAGAGGACGGTCGTCAGTCCTGATCTAAAAGAGGGCAAGGCAGGGGGACTGGGGTGGGGTGGGAGAGAGAGAGTTCTTTGGGGTGTAGTGGCTGAAAATGTGCCCACCAATGATGGAGGAGACGAGGGACAAGCAGCAGGACAGAGACAGTCGAGCGGAGGCAGCGGGTTGCGGGTTTCGGAATAAACAGGTTAGAAAGGTAGGGAGGTGCCGGGCAGGAAGGGACTTGTAGACGAGTGAGAAAGTCAAGGGGACTTAATCATATGCAAGTCCACTCTCGACGTGCGTGCCTATCAATAAAGAGAGATAGAATCATAGGTCGGTTATTTAAAACCAAACTAATTGCCTTCTGTCCCGCACCAAAAATATCCAGCCTAATTGTGCCCTAAATTAAAACTTCTAGCTTGAAAAAGAAAAGAGATAAAATATTTTTAGTCCTAGTTTGAAAGTTACTACGCAATTTTTTTTTAATCGTTATAAAGGCTTGCAGGATCAATTGATCTTCGAGCTTTGGAGTCCTGTAGCTCAGTGGTTAGAGCACCTCCCTTTGCAAGCGAGAGACCTTTGTTCAATTCCAGGCAGAGGGCGAAACCTTGGGCAAGTTTTCTTACTCCACACATCCAATAATAATTCCTCCAAAACCAAAAACAATAATAAATTGGTCATTTTCAATCCATGACTGTTTGTAGGACATTGCTGTGCGCAATTGACTGCCGCGTTTGCCCACAAATATACAATCAATTCACTTTACAGTGTGTTCTGTGAAGCGCTTTGGGACGTCCTCCCGACGTGAAAAGCGCTATATCAAATGCAAGGATTCTTATTATTATTTTACACCCCCCTGCCGCCATTATATGTTGGTCTGGTGCCTTGGGACGTCCTCCTGATGTGAAAGGCACTATTCAAATGTTATTTTTTTTTGGTCATTCTTTTTGGTCATTCACTTCATGGCTATTTGCGTCAGGTTCAACCCCCAACTGTCCTTCCTACCCCACATCCAGTCCCTGATGTGTTCCTCCACTTCCACCACAATACCTGCCTCTGACAGTACCTTACCCCAAACGCAGGCAAATCCCTGCTACGTCACTGTCAAGCTTTCTGAGGCGCTACCCTTAGTGAGGGTCACTGTATAAATGCAAGTTGTTGTGCAAATCGGTTACCACATTAGCCTACAAATAGTCACTACACTGTACAGTAAAAGTCCTGTGAAGTGCTTTGAGTTGTCTTGACAACCTAATAACGTACCACATCAAATGCAAAGATTATTATTGTTATTAATAATAAGTTCATGTAGAAATGGAGATGTAATTTCCTGAAATATGCTTAGTAGCCTTTATGTTGGTGGTTTGGGGTTTGTTCCTGTCGTTTAAAACATACAATTGAGGTCTGCTATAATAATACAGAACTGTTGTTTTTCAAAGTACAGTGTTGCACAACGCGGTTGGGGCTTGTTACTCAATAAAACATGTAAATTGCTTTTTTACCACACTGTTAATTTGTGAATGATTTATAATTTCTAAAAAAATTAGGTTGTTTTCTTGTATATGTCCTTAAAATATGTCCTGTCTTTAAAACTCTCTGAACCCGTGCGCAACATAGGCATTAGGTTCGATCCCTGCTATTTAAGTGCAAGACCCTCACCTTTGTATTCAAATCCCTCCACTCCTCTGAACCCCCCCCCCCCCGACCTCTCTGACCTTCTCTCTCCTCAAAACAGTACCCGTTGCCTTTGTTCCTCTGGGTCTGGCCTCCTCCTCATCCCCCGAGTCCTCTGCTCCACCCTCGGCGGCCGTGCCTTCAGCCACTACGCCCCGAGGCTCTGGAACTCCCTTCCTCACTCCCTTCGCCTCGTCCCCTTTCTTCCTATTTTCAGGTCTCTGCTGAAGACCTTTCTTTACGACCGCGCCTTTGGTCACCTTCCTCCCCCTCCCCTTCGCTCGGTCCCGGGATCCATTACTGTGAAGCACTCTGAGACGCCGTCCGTCGTGGAGGGCGCTATATGAATCCAAGTTGTTCTTGTTTTATATAAACATGAATACAAAGTCATTAAATGAACACGTATGCCGTCACTCCACTTCACAGTAAATCCTGTGAAGCATTTTGGGACATCCTCCTGATGTGAAAGGCATTATACCAAATGCAAGAATTATTTTATTATTATTAACGCTTTTGTATTGGCAGTAGTTAACATTACTGTCATGCGCAGACATAGGGTTAACTTCTACATATATGCGGATGATACTCAACTCTACTTTTCCAACTCCAGTTGCGACCCCCCAGTCCCCCGATGCTCTGTCAGCTTGTCTGTCGGACATCAGGAGCTGGATGAGCACAAATTTCCTGCAGTTAAAAGTCCACAAGATGGAAGCCATGCTCTGTGGCTCCCGCCGACATCTTCTATCCCACAGTTCCGACTTCCTCAACTTAACCGACCTGTCCTCTCTGAACTCTCTGAACCCGTGTGCAACGTAGGCATCAGGTTCAATCCTCATCATCCGCTCCTACCACTACCCCCATTCCGCATTCTTTCCTCCCCATCTCTCCCTCCTCCCTCTCACCCACCATTACCTCCATGAAACCCACTACCTGCTGCTTCGACCCCCTCCCCACCAACTTACTGGTCACCCAGCTCCCCCTCCTATGCCCACTACTGGCTGACATTATCAACCAGTCCCTCTCCCCTGGATCAGTCCCTGCCTCCTTCAAAACTGCTGTCATCAGCCCCCTCCTGAAAAAACCCTCCCTAGATCCCTCAAACCTGAGCCATTACCGCCCTATTTCTAACCTGCCCTTCCTCTCAAGAGCTCTGGAACGGGCTGTAGCCAACCAACTTCGCGCACACCTCTCCTCCCACTCCGTCTTCGAACCCCTCCAGTCCGGTTTCTGCCCACAGTACAGAGACTGCACTTGTGAAAGTCACAAACGACATCCTCTCTATCTGTGACCTGATGTTCTGTCAGCTACCTGTCAGATCTCAGGGGCTGGATGAGCGCAAACTTCCTTCAGCTGAACGTTGACAAGATGGAAGCCATACTCTTCAGCTCTCGTCAACGTCTAAAATTTAATGGTTCTCACCTCCTCCACCTATCCGACCTCCACCTAAAACTCTCCGAACCTGTATGCAACCTAGGCATCAGGTTCGACCCTCAATTATCCTTCCTCCCCCACATCCGGTCCCTCACCAGCACTGACTTCTGCCACCTCCGACGCATCGCCCGTCTCCGCCAATACCTCTCCCCAAAAGCTGCTGAAACCCTGGTCCATGCCTTTGTCACCTCTTGGCTGTACTACTCTAATACCCTCCTCGCCGGTCTCCCCTCCACTACCATCCATAAAATCCAACTCATTCAGAACTCTGCCGTCCGCATTCTCACCCGTACGAAACTCCGCTCCCCGATCCCCCCAGTCCTGGCCAGACTGCACCGGCTCCCAGAGAGGATCGACTTCAAAATCCTCACCCTCATATTCAAGTCCCTCCACTCCTCTGCATCCCCCGAACTCTCTGACCTCTCTCCTCAAAACAGTGCCTGTTGCCTTCGTTCCTCCAGGTCTGGCCTCCTCCTCGTGGAGGGGGCTATATAAATCCAAGTTGTTGTTGTACTGAGCTTTTTCCCTTTTAATTCAGGTTTAGATAATTGCAAGCTGAATAAAATTGCTTGTTCACTGCTGCGTGCAAACTTGCTGCCGTGTTCGCCCACAAAACATACAATTGCAGCACTTTACCTTATATCCTGTGAAGTCTTCCTGATGTGAAAGATGCTATAGCTTATTATTATAATAATCTTTGCATTTGATATAGCGCCATATCACGTCTTCGAGACGTTTCAAAGCGCTTCACAGAATATCCTATAAAGTGATATAGAAATTGACTATATGTTTTGTGGGTGAAACACAGCAGCCAAATTGCGCACAGCAGTGTCAGTCAGTCATGGAGCTTATTAGCCTGGAAAGCAATCCATCATCTATTTCACTTTTTAAAAAAAATTGTATAGATTTTCCCTGTCACCAAATTCTCCACCATCTCTCCACATTAGAATTCCAAGATGTAATGTCGCCAACACAGTTCCGACTGAGACAAACTAAATGTGTACAAACCAGGGAATAAAATTAGGATGGTATCAAGGTGTGTGGGGTTGAGACTTGCGGATGAGAGATGCATAGATTTGACAAACTATTTCTTAAGCACTCAACAACTCCAAAAAAATACAGGTTTTAGACAATACAAATAATTATAATATTAATCCTTGCATTTAACTGTAAACGGAGCGGCTAATTACACACAGCAATGTCTCACAAACAGTCGTGTGACCTGTTGTGAGACATTGCTGTGACCAAATTATTATTTTTATTTTGAGGGATTTATTACCCCAGGAAAGTGATCCGACAATCGACTTTAACAACCGGATTCCTACTTACTGCTAGGTAAACGGAGGCGTGTGGAGTAAGGAAACTTACCTACAGTTTCCTCCTGTCTGGGAATCGAACCCAGGTCCTCTTGCTTGCGAGGCGAGTGTGCTAACCATTACAATACAGAGCTCCACACGCAGATGTATTAAGCTGGGACAGTTGGAAGTATCATGAATTTAATTTGTGGTGGTCTTTTATTTGAAAAAAAATCTTTCTTTCCAGGTTTTGACAAATTTTGGAAAAGCTTCTTCCGATCACGTTGCAAAGTATCAGAATTATGAGGTGAGTGAATTTATTCATTTCTACCAGCATTTTCTCCCAACTTAGAGCTTTTAAATCTCAGAATCACCCTCGTTCACTAACACCCTACCTGCCAGTCTTCCCAACTCTTCCATCTACAAGGTGCAGATTATTCAGAACTCTGGAGCTCATGTCCTCTTCTGCACTAAGCTTCCTATTGCCCCCATCCTCGCCCAGCTCCACTGACTCCCCATCTCCTAGAGGATCGGTTCAAAATCCTTGTCCTCGCCTTCAAAGCACTCCACGGCCGTGTAACTTACTAACCCATAGAGGCCTATCTGCTCCCTCCGCTCAGGAGCCTCTGGCCTGCTCCACACTCCCCACCCCACCATCGACAGTTGGGCCTTCAGCCTTTCTCCCCACACTTAGACATGAAAGGTGCAATACAAATGGAATTTGTCGTGTTTGTTGTTGTTCTGGGAATCCTTGAATTTCATCAGTGTTCTTTAGATCGTATGGCACCCTAAGCATATCTTATGTGGCTTCGCCAGTGAACCATGAGTTAATTTTAAATTTGTACCTGATGCCTTTGAGATGCAGCCTGAATGTGTTTCCTTACTAGTAGCTTCACATTGACCGAAAACCTTTCAGTGAATGATGAACAACCGTACACAATCTCTCAGTCATTCCTTCTCCCCCTCTGGGCTTTCTTTCCTTGTCCAATTAGCTGTTTCTTTTTTTCCAATGTGTTTCGCCTTGTATTTACTTACAAGGAGGTTTAAATCCATTCACCACTCCTTAAACCGTCAACTTAATTGCTCAAGATCTTGTTGAACATTGACTGGTCAATCATTAGTTAAGATATAGGATAATGTCTGGCATGAGCCTAACTCACAACCCATCCTGCTAAAGGGTCATGTCTGGCACTTTCAGATACTAATTGACTACTTGCAGATTTATGTCATTTACTGTTTAACAACGTTTTAAATCGTGTGCTTTATTATCTCTTGAGATGCTTGTTGTTCTCTTAGTTTAAAGAGGTAGGATTTGGCATCTCGTAGCCAAGTGGTTACCGTGCTCACCTCGCAATTCCCGGGTTCAATTCCTGGACAGGGCGAAACCTTAGGCAAGTTTCCTTACTCAACAGGCCTTTGTTTACCGAGCAGTAAGAAGGATCACAGTTGTCAGTCGATTGGCAGATCGCTTTCCGTAGATAACAATAAATAATATCCAAATAAATAAATTTGGTCCCCCAATCCAAGGCTGTTTGTGGGACACTGCTGTGTGCAATCGGCTGCTGTGTTTCACCCACAAAATAGTCTTTACAATATATTCTTTATTATTATAAATATATTCAAAGTACTTTACAATGTATTCTGTGAAGCACTTTGAAACCTCTAAATGACTTGTTTGGGCGCAGTATCAAATGCAAGGTTTATCATTATTTGTTATTATAGTTACTGCACATAACAGAGGCACATAACTATGTGTTCCATATTTTAAACATAGGAAAGTGTCGATTCAGGATCAGATTTTCCCATTCGATCTCGACGAGAGGCCACACTGAGGCGCCAGAAAAGAAGATGGAGTCCACTCCCTTTCACAGTCACCGAAAATGATATTGGACCTTATCCTAAATTTCTTCAAACTGTAAGTTTGCACGTTTCATATTGATTATGTAACAAAAACAAAATGTGGCCACTTAATCCACGTCTGTTTGTGGGACGCTGCTGTGCACAATTGGCTGCCAGGTTTCGCCCACAAAATATCCAGTCAATTCACTTGACATTATATTTTGTGAAGTGCCTTTGAGATGTATCAATGACGTGATAAAGCGCTATATCATATGCACTTATTATGGATTTGTATATAATTCTCTGCTGCAGACTTCTCAGGTTAATAAAGTTCTGAAGATTTGGAAAGTTGATTTGCTACAAAACTTTTTCTTTTTTCCCCCCCAGATAAGATCAGACAAAGAACTGGGATATACGTTAAAGTACTTTCTAAGTGGCGAAGGTGTCGACCTTAACCCGACTGGTTTGTTCATTATAGATCCCGATACTGGTGGTATATCAATCACAAGAGCTGTGGATCGTGAGACATATCCCATATTCAAAGTAAGTGCTCCTGGTATCCTTGTTTTGATATGTAAACCAAGGTTTCTTTCTCCAGAGAATGGTTTTAAGATTAAGATACAATGGAAAATTACATTTATATAGCACCTTTCACGTTAGGAGCACGTACCAATGTGACGTTCCATTATTACAATAAAGATATGCTTTTGTATCAACTATAGTAAGTGTACTGCTTACCCACAAACCAGTTAACCTTCTCCGCCATATTTTTTTAAAAAAGTGAGACCCACCCACTAATACAATTATAGAGGCACAAAGGAAGAGGCAACATATGACTGGGATTTATATAGCATCCTTTGCGTAGGGTAATGTCATGGAATACTTCACAGGGAAGGATTTGGGGACTAAGCAACGGAGGGGAAGGTGGAGGTGGCCATAGGTGCCTTCAAAGAGGTAGGATTTGAAGCAAGACTTGAAGGCAGAATGCGCGGGTGCAAAATAGAATGTCAAAGTTCCTGACATTAGGCTCGTCGAAATTGAAGGTGTTGGTGGTGTGGAGAGGTGGCCAGGAGATAGGAGAGATAAGGGAGTACTTCGATACCTTTATGAGCTTTCCATTGAGGGTGGATCTCTGTCATGTCTGTGAAGGCGGAATGTGATCCTTCTAGATCTGGGTAAGAGTTTAAAAAAAACTTTCCCTTTTCAATTCTTCAGATGATTGGCAACGCAAGGACATTGGAAGGATTTACTCCAGAAATGCCTCTGGATATCACTGTGAAAGTGATTGATGAAAATGATAACAAACCTGAGTTTACCCAAAAAGAGTTACAAGCCTATGTACCAGAACTCTCAGCACCTGGTAAGTAACCATTTTCTCTCAAAATATCTATAAATCAAATCTTGGAATGACTGTTATACTTCAGAGGGAGCCAGAGTGTCAATGAGTAGTGAGAGGTCCATTTCACTAGGCCACATGTATTTCATATCTACCGCAACTTACACTTGTGTAGCGCCCCTCGTGCAGGGTAGTGTCCCAGAGCACGGAGCACCTTGGTGAGCTGGAGGGAGGTGCCTGTAGCCCAATCATTGTACTGAAACTGACGTAGGGAGTTTCGCCCACAAATCTACAGTCAATTCACTTTACAGCATATTCTGTGAAGCACTTTGAGATGTCTGGAAGATGTGAAAAGCGCTATATCAAATGCAACTATTATTATTAGGGAGGTGGTTGTAAGGGCTGTTCAATTCCCCAGCCATTCTTCAGGGATACATTTTGACTCTTCAGTAAAACTGTGTTTTGCTCAACATTGTATTACAAAATTAACATTGCTTCATTTTACAAGACAAAAATGTTTTATATTATTTTAGGAACATGGGTGGCGAACCTTACAGCTACCGATAAAGATGAGGCAAACACTCAGGCTACTCTGCTACGTTACAAGATACTGGGGCCAGGAGCAGTATCTAATTTATTTGCTGTTGACGCATCAACTGGTGTACTCACTACTAAAAGAAATATTCTACGTCGATCGGTAAGATCACGCGTGTTTTGTTTCTTAATAACCTATAACTTGCAGGGAAACTCCATTTTAGTTGGGCATGAGTAAGGTGCAGGTATATTTTTGGGGTCAGCCAGGTGTCTTGACACATGCAGAAACCCATCACCATGCCTAAGAATAACCAAGCTGAGAATTCCATACCTCCCACCTACACGTGGAAATCCCAGAGATAGATTGTTGGAATGGAATGCGCTCTCTCTTCCTGGATGGAGGCATCCTGCTTACCCAATTCTGGAAAGTATTGGGCGCAGGTTGGCAAGAGCCAAGGCTTGGGGCCCCCAGAGTGTACGTTGGGGTAAGTGCTGGAGTCTAAGCTGCAGGTAGTGGCACTTTCTGTGCGAGGTGTCCATCTACACAGGTGATCTGACCATCTGGAAGTCAGCCATCGCGTTTTGCAGTGTGGCACGGGAAGCGGGCAGTTGGTGCTTCCACAAGACACCAGTAGAAGAAGCAAAGCTGTAACAGAATTGTCCTGTGTATTGAGAAGCAATGAGTGTTCAGACATCACTAATAATGTGGCAGTACTTAAGTTTGTGGCTATTGCCTCTGTTAACTACTACTGCACTGTAGTTCTTAGCTTTATATTTCATTGTACCACAACCTAATGTAACTGACAACTTCACGTGTTGTGCAGAATTCCTTGGCCGCCTTGCATCATCTGAATATGTACTCTTGCATCTGTTTAAACAAGCATGAAGAGTTTATCTACACTTGTTTCAAACTTCATTTTAGCTGCCTGAGGATTGTCTGAGAAAGTTCCTAGTGGGTTTATCTGCTAGGGTTCGGCATTTCTTACACGTGAACAGGACGAGGCCATTCAGCCCCTCAAGCCTGTTCTGACATTCTATTAGATCATGGCTGATCTGTACCTCAACTCCAATTACCTGCCTTTGCCCCATATCCTTTGATACCCTGTCTAACAAATCTATCCACCTCAGTCTTGAAAATTGGAATGGTTCCAGCATCTGCAGCCTTTTGAGGGAGAGAGTTCCAGATTTCCACTACCCTTTGTGTGGAAAAACTGCCTCCTAATTTCACTCCTAAATAGCCTAGCTCTAATTTTAACACCCCTCCAACTTCCAAACTTGAGGGAATACAATCCAAGTTTATGCAAAATGTCCTCATAATTTAACCCTTTATGCCCTAGTATCATTCCGGTGAATTTGCACTGCACCCTTTCCAGGCCTGTACCCCCTTCCTTGACGATAGTGAAGCTTTAGTTGGGATGAAAGTTTGTAAGATTATATATGAAGTCCACTTTTATCTGCTGTATGCCTACAGCTCTTTGGAAACTAATTATTTGAAGAGGTGGCATAATCTCGCTAAGGAGTGAGTTATTGTTAAGTGAGCCTGAGAATGTAAGATTTTTTTTAAAAAAAAACCTCTTGAATGGCAAATATATGCTTCGTTACCTTTGCTGCACACTGGGAAAATGCGAGTCGTGTCAAATTGGTTGCTACGTTCATCCACAAAACAAATAGTCACACCACTTTACAGTATCGAACCCGGATCCTCTCACTTGCGAGGCGAGTGCTCTAATCACGATACTACAGTACTCCAAAATAACTCCAAGTGTAACACCGTGGTATTAGAAGAAGTGGGCTTTTTGAAGTGTGTATCTTTTTAATATCAAGTATTTCCAAAATTTTCAGGACAAGGACACCTACACCATTAAAGTTGAAGTTAGAGACTCGGGCGGAAAGCACTATGGACTAGCTTCAACCGGTCATGTTATTGTGCATGTCACTGATGTGAATAATCATCTACCAACATTTGCAGTCTCGAAGGTACTTTTTTTAAAATGTAATATGCAATGCTAAATTGATAGATTTTAACCAATTATTGAATCTTTTATTTGACTGGAGAGGCTGAGGTTATTCTCCTTGGAGCAGAGAAGATTAAGGGGAGATTTCATAGAGGTGTTCAAAATTGAAATGTTTTGATAGGGTAGATAGGTTTCCTATTGCGGGTGGATCGATAATCAGAGGACACAGATTTAAGATGATCGGCAAAAGAACCAGAGGGGAGACAAGGAGAATTTTTTATTTTTTTTTTACCCAGAGAATTATGGTCTGAAAGGAGGTCGAAACAGATTCAATAGTAGCTTTCAAGAGGGAATTGGATATATTACTTGAAACGAGAAAATTTGCAAGGCTATAGCGAAAGAGTAGGGGAGTGGGACTAGTGGGAGCTCTTTCAAAGAGCTGGCACAGGCATGATGGGGCTGAATGGTCTCCTTCTGTGCTGTAAGAGTCCATGATTTTAGAAATGGACTTAATGGCTTTATCATTCAGAATTTAGGGCTGATGTCAGCCTGGCTCAGTTGGTAGCTCTCCCCATCATTATCATCGTCTAGGCTGTCAAGCCAATGCAGTGCTGGGGTTGAGTTGCATTGTCGGAGATACCGTCCTTCAAGTGAGATATTAAACCGAGAGCCCGTCTGCCTATTCAGGTGGGCTTTAAAGATCCCATGGCACCAATCGAAAGGAGAGAGGAAGTTTTATAAATTATTTATAAGACCTTCCCGCCCCACTATCATCAGTTAGGACTTCAGCGCCTCTGCACCACCCTTTGGAATTCCATCTCACAGACCCTTCCACTCGCTCCCTCGCTTCAAGGCACATCTCAAGACCCTCCTCTTCAACTGTGCCTTTGTTCACCCTCCTCCGACTACCCTCCACCCCTCCTAATCCCATCTCCCAGCTCGGGTCCAAATCCCTGACTGTCCAGGCTGATTTGAGGCGAGTTTTTATTTTTTTAACGTGAAAATTTCTCTTGCTATCAGTACACTGTGGATGTCTTAGAAAACGTGAATAATGTGGAGCTTCTGAAAATACCGGTCGAAGACCAAGACGAGCCAAACACAAATGCTAGCAGAGCGGTGTTCACCATCACAAAGGGGAACGAGAATAACCATTTCAAAATAGTCACGGACCCCAAAACAAATGAAGGAATCTTGTCTGTGGTGAAGGTAAGCAGGCAATCTGTGTGGAATTACTCTGTTAAATGGCACTATTCATTTAATTATTAATTTTTTTTAAATAAAATTCATTAGTCATTTATTTACTGTTCATGACACTTGAACGAAAGGCTCTCTCTCTCTCTCTCGGTGTCCTGGCCAACAGTCTCCCAAATAAAAATGTGGTAATTTGTTTCATAGCTGTTTTATGGACATTGCCGTGTTTGCCAACGAATACACACATCATTTCACAATAATTCCTGTAAAGCACTTTGAGACATCCTTCTGACGTGATGAGGCGCTATACTGAATGCAAGCATTATTATTTATTATAAATGTTCAAAACTCATCTATTCCTTGGATCAGTGTGCTGTCAGGTCTGCTGTGCAATATACACCATCTTCTATAAATAAAATATCCTTTTAGATCAGCAGTTTTGATCTCAAAAGTCAGCAATCAAAAAGAGATTGGATTTACTTAAAGGATATGTTTCATTTAATTGCAAATGTGTCTGATTACAGTATACGTGATGTAAGAGATGCTGTTGGAATCCACTGCAACCCCATTGTAATTGTGTGGTTGCTATCCCCTCCCCTCAGTATACCATGGCCTATCACTCTGACCCACGCCCGGCTCCACTGGCTTCCCATTCACCAGAGGATAGAGTTTAAAATCCTCGCCTTGAAAGCCTTAAAATGGCTTTGCTCCTCCTTACCTCTGTGTCCTGCTAACTCCATATAGTCCTGTCTGCTCCCTCCACTCAGCGGGCTCCGGCCTGCTCCATGTCCCACGCTTGGCCTCTCTGCCCCCACCCTTTAGAACTCCATCCCACAGTCCCTTCGCCTCAGCCCTTGACTCATTCAAGGTCCATCTCAAGACCTTGAGCTGGTGTCTGGGTGGAGGAGGTTTTAATTTGAAGTCAGATTGCTTGGTTCCTCAGGGGGTCTGAGGGTAAGAGTGTATGTATGTACGTACGTACCCTTGTTCTAAATTGTTTCCATCTGTTTACGCACCTTAGCCACTGGATGCCGAGGAAGCGAAGGTGAGGGTGCTGGAGGTTGAAGTGGCAAATGAAGCGCCCCTGGTCGGAGACCCTGTCAAACTTAACAGTGCGGAAGTGACGGTCAATGTGGGGAACGTAGACGAGGGACCCGAGTTTGTTCCTGCAGTCGAATACCTTTCGGCCAAAGAAGATGTGGCAATTGGATCAAGTATAGGATCTTATACAGCAAAAGATCCTGACACTCAGAGCAGCGCTGGCATCAGGTAGGAATTCTGTTTTTTTTTATGTGAATTTTTTAAAACGTCTGCTTTTTCTTTTTCTCACTTTCTATCGTGGAGTCCCATACCATAGTGATTAGAGTGCTCGCCTTGCATGCGAGAGGACCAAGGTTCAATTACCAGGCAGGGGGAAACCTTAGACAACTTTCCTTACTCCACAAGCCTCTATTTACTTAGCAGTAAGTAGGAACCAATTGTTAGTCGATTGGCGGATCACTTTCTGGGATTAATAATCCCTTCAAAAAAAAAAAGGAGTCACTCAATCCACGACTGTTTGTGGGACATTGCTGTACACAATTGGCTGCCGCATTTTGCCCACAAAATACAGTCAATTCACTTTATATTCTGTGAAGCGCTTTGAGATGTCTCGAAGACATGACAAGGTGCTATAATCAAATGCAATTATTATTATAAATGTTTTACAAGAAATGAAAGTAGTAGTTCTCATGCTCTAATGTTACCAACCAGGTACCAAATATTGTCTGACCCCGCAAAATGGGTAGCCATTGATGGGAACACGGGCAAACTCTCCACCATTGCCTTGATGGATCGAGAATCTTCGTTTGTGACGAACAATAAATATAATGTCACTGTGCTGGCTATAGACAATGGTAAGTAAAGCTCAGCCACGTTTGTTTGTTCATTTGTGAGCAGGAAAACCTTATCTACTGAAAAGTGTACATTGGCTAGGAGGCAACATATCATTTGTATGATCTTACAATACAAATTTATATTTGTACTTATACCAGCACCTTGGAATGTCCTCCTGACGTGAAAGGTGTTATACAAATTGTTGTTGTTGTATACAGTGCCTTCCAAGTCGGGAGGACATCCCAAGGTCCTTGACAGTCCCGCCATGGCACCCAAGCTGGAAGTGAGAGCTGAGGGGTGGGTAGGGGAGAGGGAAAGAAGACCAAAGAGGATGGTCTTGAGGCAGACCTTAAAAGAAGTGGGGGTCATCTCCAGGATGGAGTTCCAGAGGATGGGGGCAGATAGTGTCTGAAAGCCTGACCGCTGATGGTGGAGCAGGTAAGACAGGGGCCCATGAAGCAGGCCACTGAGCGAAGGGAACAGGTGGGTTGAGAAGGCCATAGGACATTGCAACAAGGGATTCAGCCCAACAGGCCATTGCCAACAACATGACCTATCAAAGACTTTAAATAATTCCTTGACAAGAATGAGAAATTGTGATAATCTGGACGATCTTTGTGAGAGTCGGGATGGATATTCCAACAAGGCTCGAGGGGCTGAATGGCCTACTTCTGTTCCTATGTATGAAAAATTGTAATTTTTTCTAACTTTGTTGTTGTTCTAGCTACACCTTCGAAGACTGGAACTGGAACTGTCGTCATAAACTTGAATGACGTCAATGACCACATTCCAGTTATTGAGGAAGGTGACTGGCACATTTGTCAAAATGGAAACCAGAAGTATGTTAAGATTTCAGCTGTGGATCTTGATGTGTCCCCTAATTCTGCACCATTTAGATTTCTCCTGCCAGATATTGACATAAAAGAGAAATGGACGTTTACAAAGACTGATGGTAAGCTTAATGTGCAGCTAACAACAACTTGCATTTATACTGTGCCACTCACACCAGAAGAGGTAGTGGGGGGTGCCAGGGCATGAAGGGATTTTAAAACCAGTGTGAGGATCTTGAAATTGATCAGTTTGGTGATAAGGAGCCAGTGGAGTCTGGCTAGAACTGATGTGATCAAAGAAACAGAATCATAGAATTATATAGCACAGAAGGAAGCCATTCAGCCCATAGTGTCTGTGCTGAAGACTTTGAAAAGTCTTTGAAAAGAACTATCCAAATCGATCCCATTCCCCCGCGCTCTCCCCATAGCCCTGCAAACTTGTCTTCCCCAAGTTGTTATCAAATCGGCTTCTACCACCCTTTCAGGCAATGCATTCCAGATCCAAATCTGGATGGGGCTATGGGAAGGAAGGGGCAAGGAAGAGGGATAGAGGAAGAGTGTTCCAGAGTTTCAGGGCATAGTGGATGAAAGCGAGACCACAGATGTTAGAACGCAGCTAGTTATCCCAATATTTGCTTCTACAGATTTGGACAGTTGAAGCTACTCTGTTGTAGTTTGTTGATCTAGAAAGAAAAATGAATAGCATTGATTTTGGAGAGCATTCTTGATTTGATGTGGAACCTGTAGCATAGTGGCTAGAGCACTCGCCTTGTAAGCGAGAGGAACTGGATACATGCATTTTAAATTACAAATGATGAAACATCTATAATGCAGTAGATTCATTCATACCATAACTGGGCAAAGGTTAATTTTGTTTTTTGGTCAGCCGGGTGTCTGACACATGTGGAAACCCATCACTGTGCTTAAGAGTGTCCAAACCAAACTGAGAATTCCCTGCCTCCCACCTACACACGGAAATCCCAGAGATAGATTGCTGGAATGGAATGCACACTCTTTCCCAGGATGAAGGCATCCTGCTTATCTAATTCCGGAAAGTATTAGGCGCAGATTGGCAAGAGTTCTGTAGCTTAGTGGTTAGAGCACTCGCCTCGCAAACGAGAGGACCTGGGTTTGATTCCTGGGCAGGGAAAAATGTTGGGCAAGTTTCCTTACTCCACACACCTCTGTTTACCTAGCAATAAGTAGGAACCCAGTTGGTAGTCAATTGGCAGATTGCTTTTCCGGGGGTAAAAATCCCTTCAAAAAAGAAATTTAAAAAATTGGTTACTCAATCCACAACTGTTTGTGGGACACTGCTGTGTGCAATTGGCTGCCGCTTTTCACCCACACAATAGTCAATACACTTTACAGTGCAAATATAAGGATTATTATTATGCTATCAGACATCTCGACAACATAACATGCAGGAGCAGGCCATTCGGCCCTTCGAGCCTGCCCCACCATTCAATCATGGCTAATCTTCTAATCTAACTCCAGCTAATACCATAACCCTGCCATATCCCTTAATCCCTTTTGCAATAAGAAATATCTATCTCAGTCTTGAATATAATAAGGCGCTGTATCAAATGCAAGGATTATTTATTATTATTGCACCTCCAGATTATTAACAATGATCATTTTCTCTTTCAGCAACCTATGCCTATCTGGCACCCAAAATAAATCTCCCAAATGGTTATTACGAAGTTCCTGTCGTTATTCAGGATCAGCAGAATCAAGGCACACAAAATACAGTGAAGGTTGTAATATGTGATTGCCCTGACGGTTTAAACTGTGCGGGTAGATCTGGAAGTAGATCCACAAGACTAGGTGGATGGGGAATTCTTGCACTGTTGCTTGGTGCCTTGTTGCTCCTTTGTAAGTACAACTGAAGGTGTTTCAGTGATTTGTTTCTCTCTTTCTCTCTGTGCTTTCCCAGATAAGTGGTCAAATTGAGGTTTTTTATAATTTGGGGGCGAAACCTTAGGCAAATTTCCTTACTCCGCAAGCTTCTGTTTATCGAGCAGTAAGTAGGAATCCGGTTGTTAGTCAATTGGCAAATCGCTTTCTAGGGGTAATAATCCCTTCCCCAAAATGATGATAATTTGATCACTCAATCCACAACTGTTTGTGAGGCAATAATGTGTGCAATTGGCTTCTGCGTTTCACCCACAAAGTATAGTCAATTCACTTCATAGTATATTCTGTAAAGTGCTTTAAGACTCCTCAATGACTTGGTAAGGTGCTATTATTATTATTATCTGTTATTTTGTCCACTCTTATTACTATGGATATTTGATGCTTTGGAATTTGCAGCTCTTTAAGATATGCCACTTGACACCCTGGCACCTCCTTGCCTTTCCGACCTGATTACTCCCCAACCCACTACCCATTGCCTCTGCTCGACTGGCTCCGGCCTCCTGCTTGTCCTTCGTGCCCTCCGTTCCACTGTCAATGGCCGCGCTATCAGCCACTACGCCCTGAAAGTGTGGAGTTCTCTCCCTCTGGTTCGCCCCTTCGTTTCCCCATCTTCAGGTCGCGCCTGAAGACCTTCCTCTTAGACCGTGCCTACCATCATCTCCCCCCACCCTCCAGCTTGACATCGTGCTCCACCATTGTCGAGTGCTCTGTGGCACTCCACCCTGCATGAGGGGTGCTATATAAATGCAAGTTGTCATTGTTGTTATAACAAGAATCTTTTGTTTGTTCTTACCAGGTTTACTTCTGGCAGCATTGGCCTGCTTTTTCAAAAACAAAGATCAAATAATTACCAACGGCAATTCGGACACCAAATATCATCAAAGCCTCATTGTAACTAATGAAGAAGGTGGTGGCCAGCAAGACAAGGTAGCTTCACTTTCATTGACTTGTGGCATGTTCTCCCATCCACTAAGCCGCTTTCCTGATGCATCATCTCCTTGCCAACTCAGCCATCTTTTTCATTTTAAAAGCAACTTGTTATGAGAGGAAAGGGTGGGGATTGGGGTGCAGGGAATTGACAGATTGATAATAGGATGGGTGGTTTTCTGGAAGGATGGGCCTAAGGTCCTTCATCTTGTATCTTGCAATAGAAACCTTTTTCCTAACTTTAAAATTTTGAAAATGTAAGACTGAGTGCGGGATGAAGCCACACACACACAACTATTTGTGGGGCACTGCTGTGCTCAATTGGCTGCCGCGTTTCGCCCACAAAATACAGTCGATTCACTTCACAATATATTCTGTGAAGCGCTTTGGGACATTTTGATGAAATGTAGTTATTTTCTTTATTGAAGATAAAAACCCTTGTTCTCACTTTGTACATGTCAAAAAAATCAGAATCCAAATTCTGTAGACTATTTTTAATCGTGGATACCTCTACCAAGAGAAACCCTTTTCACTCTTCTCTGTTCAAGAGAGAAAAGTGCTGAGTAGTTGACCTTTTTTAATAATAATCATAATAATAATTGTAATTAATAATGCAGCTTTAGCTCCTTCCCAACCCACACTCTAGGGTCCCAAGCTTTGGTTCTTAATCCTTGCATTTATCATGTCTTCAAGAGTCTCAAAGCCCTTCACAGAATATACTGTAAAGTGTAATGACTGCATTTTGTGGGCGAAACTCTGTTACGTTTTGGAGTTAAATCTAATAACCCTCAACTGATGTCCTGTTTAGAAATGGGAACAAGATATTTGGCTGTGAATATAGTTTGGATTTTGATTGTGTCTTCAAGGCTATAATTCCTATAATAATATATTATAAAAAATATATATAAAATGATCGTGTGCTCATTTTCAGGACATGGGAACCCTAAGCCGTCCTATCTTCATGCAAGGTCAAATGCCTAGCAGGGAATACGACTTTCAATCTACACAAAAGTCTGCAATTTACGCCCAAAACGATGCAATCAAAGGTGGAGCAATCCCCTTCAACAACGGCGAAATGATGAATTTATTCCAGAATGGATATGGCTATGAAGAAGGGATGAATGAGCAGTATACAGGAACTATGCTATCCCAGGAATCTATGGCGAATATGAACTGTTCAGGAACCTTACGTTCCCAGAATGGAATAGGCAATTCTCATTCAATAAGGGAATACGACACGTCGAATCGGAGAAGTAGCGCAGCCCTAATAGAGTTGTTACGAACCCGTATTGATCAGGTAAGCTTTAAAAATTGCCTTGCCTAACTTTGGAGTCCTGTAGCGTAGTGGCGAGAGCACTCTTGCCTCGCAAGCGAGAGGACTCTGGTTCAATTCCCGGGCAGGGCAAACCCTAACCTTCGGCAAGTTTTCCTTACTTCACACGCCTCGGTTTACCCAGCAATAAGTAGGAACCTGGCTGTTAGATGACTGGCGCATCACTTTCTCGGGGACCTGGAGAGGGCTGGAGCCCGCTAGGCTTGTACTGTGTTGTGGATCAAAGCCCCAATGCTGGGACTTGGAATCACATAGTCTAAGCGGACACTCCAATGCAGTACCAGGGGTGGGGGCAAAGGGGTGTTGTGTTGTCAGAGCTGTTATCCTTCAGATGAAACATTAAAACTGAGGTCCTGGCTCTGTAAGTTCAGGTGGACGTGAAAGATCCTATGGTACTATTTGAAACGTTTATCTCCCAGTGTCCTGGCCAACAAATCCCCCAAGTAAAAAATTTGGTCAGTCACTCCATGGCTGTTCGTGAGACATTGCTATGCGCAACTGTTGACCGTGTTTCACCAACAAGATACAGTCAATCCTCTTCGCACTGTATCTTGTGAAGGGCTTTGCGACGTCTCAATGGTGTGATAAGCTGCTGTGTCAAATACAAATAATATTAATATTTTAACCCTGCTGTTTGATTTGCTTCAGGTGTATGAAGAGGAAGAGCAAGAAGAAAATTATTTAAAAGAACATGAATTTGAGACAGCTGGATCGCTGACTGGCTTCAGTGATGGAAAATAACTCCCATGATTTGAACTATTTGAATAATTCATGATCAAAGTTCGGCAGAAGTTTGCACGAAATGAAAGCAAACTCGTGAAATGAAACTTATTTTTCAGACCGGATAAAGTACGGTTAAAGCTCTCTCGCTTATGGACTGGAACTAATCTTTCTAAGCTTCGTAAAGATATCCATTCACAGTTGGGAATATTGTAAATATTATTAGGATAAATTGAATTGGCTGGTAGCATAAATCTTGGGAAGGATTATGGACAAATGCAATGAGTTTTTTTTAAAAAGAAAATATTGTGTGCATTTTTACCCTGTCAAAATTCTGCAATTTAAAAAAAAATACATATATGTCACACTTTCACCCACAAAATATACGGTCAATTCACTTTACAGTATATTCTGTGAAGCGCTTTGAGACGTCTTGAAGACGTGATAAGGCGCTGTATCAAATACAAGTATTATTTTTGTTTTTTGTAAAGGGCTTGTGGGGGTGTGTGTACGTGTTTGTGTGTATGTGTGTGTATATATATATATATATGGTCAGCTGGTTGCATATCTGACACTTGCAGATATCCAGCATCGTGCTTAATAGTATCCAAACTGAGAATTCCACACATTAAAATTCCTTTGTCCACAAATGAGCACTCTCTCCCCGTGGGTAAGGATGCACCCAGTTCCTGAGAGTATTAGGCACAGATTTGGAAGAGTCCAGTCTTGAGGATTCAAGAGTGTATGTTTGGCTACTGCACGTTTAATTCGCTAACAACCATGAGGGTTGCCAGTTAATTGTGTTATAAATACCGGCTGTAGCATTCTGTTAGCTTACTGCTTGTAATTATTAACGTTGCACTTTACGCACATACCAAACGAGCAGTACATTCATTGCTTGCGTATTGCATTCATAGCTATGGATTTACCGCTTGCTGGGGGTGGGGGGGTTTGTATTGTGTTTTGTTCACAAAATGTCAAAGATTGCAGCCCGTCTATTATTCACGCATGTAAAATCACACTCTGAGCTAAAGTTTGTTTTTTTGTCTTCCGCTAACCGTATATCGCCCAAACAAAATAAGCCTTTAACGTTGCATGTTATGGAACATGAAGGAAACCTATCTGGTACTTTAAACATGACTATTGGGTAGCGCTTCTAAACCTGGGACTTTCTCACGTTGTTTCTGCTAGGGCTAATTAGATGTTAATCGTTAGGAACAATGGTTAAAAAGTAACTTAAAAATAGTTTCTAGTTAAAAAGCTGTTCTTCAAGTGTCCTTGGCGAATGTAGGCTCTATTTACCTTGCACTGATCTTCTCTAGATAAAAGGATCATTTCTAAACCACGTAGCATTCTTTGGGGGGTAGGGCAGGTGAGGAGTTCACCGCTGCAAATTGTACATTTTACAGTGTTTATCCAGGTTTGGGTTTTTGTGGGTGTATACAGTCAAACCTGTTAAAGCAACCACCTGCTGTCAACAATCACGCAACCATAGTCCGAACGTTTTCTCTCCTACCCCCCACCATAATAAACCACCTCTATTCAGCAACTGCCTTTGCAAAGCAACCAGTGGTCAGTCATGTTTTAACCCTGTTGGGTGTACCCGCGCTCTTCTCACCAGTGAGGTAGCATTAGGGGTCGAGCAGAAGGCTATATGTAGGCCCCTTTTTAGCTTAGTGGTTAGAGCACTCACCTCGAAAGAGGGAAGTACTGGGTTCGATTCCTGGGCAGGACGAAACCTTTGGCAAGTTTTCTTACGCCATACACCTCTGTTTAACTAGCAGTAAGTAGGAACCCGGTTGTTAGTCGATTGATGAATCTCTTTTCCAGAGTTAATAATATCTTCAGAAATGAAAAAGTAATAATAATTTGATCACTGAATCTGCAACTGTTTGTGGGACATTGTTGTGCGCAATTGGCTGCCGTGTTTTGCCCACAAAATATACAGTCAATTCAATGTGCAGTATATTCTGTGAAATGCTTTGAGACGTCTCAAAAAATTGATGAGGTGCCATATGAAATGCAAGAATTATTATTATATGCATTCTTGGCCTGTGGAAATTTATATGTTTTAAAAAAAAGTTTTGTCCCAGTCAATGAACCAATGTACTCTCCATACTCAGAAGCTACCCTTACCTAAAGGCCACAGTCCCCCTAAGTGGTTGCTGAAAACGAGTTTGACTGTATTTCAAGAAGTTGCTTTAGTTATTAGGAAATTAAATTTTCATTTCACTATGTACGGTAATGCTTTTGAATATGTATGTATTTGGTGTCATGTTTTTTTGTGTATGTGGTCTGTAAATAAGAAACTTGGGGTTTATGGTTACATGAGTGGACATTTGTCATTCTGATCACATATACTGTCTTCCAAATGTCCCATTGGGCATTGCTCAGAAAATACACGTACCTCCTACATGTAGGCATATAACCATTCAGGAATATAACCATTCACACAACAATAGTTTTGCTTCGCAAGTAAGAGGTCCTGGGTTTGATTCCTGGGCGGCGCGAAACCTAAGGCAAGTTTCCTTACTCCACACCCTCTGGTTACCTAGTAGGAATCCGGTTGTTAGGCGATTGGCGGATCGCTTTCCGGGGGTAATAATGCCTTCAAAAAACGTTTGTGCAAGTCCGTCTAGAACCGTAGGTGAGACAAGATTGTAACAAGCATTTTTGTAGAAATTCCCATATCTTAATTAAAAAATGGCACTCAATCCACAATTGTTTGTGGGACACTTCCATGCGCAATTGGCTGCTGCATTTCACCCACAAAATACAGTCAATCCACTTTACAGTATATAGTGTGAAGCGCTTTGACACATCTCAATGATGGGATAAGGTGCTATATCAAATATTATTATTAGTGTCAGCCTGACTCAGTTGGTAGCACTCTCTTGAGTCAGAAGGTTGTGAATTCAAGGCCCTTACATTATGAACTCACAGTCTAGGCTGACTCGGGTGTAATGCTGGGGGAATCCTGCAGTGTCAAACGTTATCAACACAACAACAAAATTAAATTTATAGAGCACCTTTCATGTCGGGAGGATGTCCCAAAGCGCTGAAATCATCATCTCCAGGTGAGACATTAAACAGAGGCCACTCTGCCTGTTCAGGTGGTTAAGATCAGGATGTTATTATGTTGAAAGTCCCATGGCTACTGTTTGAAAAGAGTCAGGAGTTTCTCCCAGTGTCAACAACAACACCTTGCATTTATATAGCACCCCTCCCATGAGGCAGTGTTCTATCTCAGTTTCCTGGCCAACAGTTCTCCAGATAAAATTGGTTATTCACTTCATGGATGTTGGCTGCCATGTTTGCCTACAAATAATCTGTAATATACTTAACAGTGAATCCTGTGAAGTGTTTTAAGATGCCTTGATGTGATAAGGCACCATGTCAAATGCAAGGGTTACTAATATTGTATGACGTGTCCCTCAAATGTTTTTTCATTTAAACTATGACCGCTTTTATGTCCTCCACAAGCTAAAGATCATTCAGAACTCTCTAGATTGTGTCCTCTCCCGTACCAGGTTCCATGACCCGATCACCCCACTCATGCCTGGTTTCACTGGCTCCCCATCCCCCAGAGGATAGAGTTAAAAATCCTCATCCTTGCCTTCAATGTCCTCCACGGTCTTGCTCCTTCCTACCTCTGTGATCTGCTAACCCCATATAGACCTAACTCGCCCCACTCATCTGGCTCTGGCCTGCTCCATGTCCCCCGCCCGGCCCACCACACCATCGGCGGTTGGGCCTTCAGCCTCTTTGCCCCCACCCTTTGGAACTCCATCCCACGGTCCTTTCACCTCGCTCACTCCCTTGTCCCCTTCAAGGCCCTCCTCAAGACCTTCCTATCCAACCATGCCTTCAGTCACCTTCCTACCACAAGCCTCCCTACCCTCCACCTCTCCTGATCCTGACCCCCAGCTTTTTTTTATCATAAAATTATACAGCACAGAAGGAGACCATTCGGCCCATTGTGTCTGTGTCGGGTCTTTGAATAGAGCTATCCAAATCTATCCCACTCCCCCGCTTTCTCCCCATAGCCCTGCAGACTTGTCCTCCCCAAATAATTATCTATTTCTCTCTTAAAAACTGTTGTTGAATCGGCTTCCACCACCCTTTCAGGCAATGCATTCCAGATCCAAACAATTCGCTTTGTGAAAAAATATTCTACGCCCCTATTTATAGTATCCGTATACTTTTTTAACAGCTTTATCTCCCTGTCCTGCCACCTTCAAAGATTTACTTATATGAACCCCCAGGTCTCTCTGTCCCTTCACCCCCTTTAAGACTCTACCATCAGCTTATATTGCCTCTCCTCATTCTTCCTCCCAAAATGCATTACTTTGCATTTCCCCACATTAAACTCCATCTGCCACGTCTCTGCCCATTTTACCAGTCGGTCTATGTTCATTTGCAGTCTGCTACTATCCTCCTCGCTGTTTACTATTTTTCCTAGCTTAGTATCATTTACAAATTTAGAAATTGTACTCCCTATATCCAGCTCCACGTCATTTATGTAAATTTAAAACAGCACTGGTCCCAATACCGACCCCTGGGGGACACGACTGCACAATTCCCTACAGTCAGAAAAACAACTTTTCACCACCACTCTCTGCTTTCTGTCTCCCAGCCAGTTCTGTATCCATGCTGCCCCTATCCCTTTAATATCGTGGACGACTATTTTGCTTCAGCTTGTATGTAAATCGTTAACTGTACAGAGCCTTGGGACATTTTCTTGACACCAAGTATAATTTGTGTTGTTTTAAATTCTTCAGTGACATTGACGAACCACCAGAAGCACTGGAATAGAGGCTTTGCTGTTACGTCACCTGGTATATTGTTGCAACAACAGACTACTGCCCAAAGCAGTGAAAGTGGAGTGCTATTTAACCTAAATTCTTTGCCCAGAATGGCAATTACTGTAGTTTTATTCTTGATCTTTTCAACTAATACCCACAGTCCTGCACATGGTGTTGCAATGACTGGAAGTGTGATGATAATCCTTGCATTTGATATTAATAATAATAATGAATTTCATATAGCACCTTATCACATTGTTGAGATGTCTCAAAGCATTTCACAAAATATATTGCAAAGTGTTATAAACATAGAAGTCGCTGGGAACACGCAGCAGGTCAGGCAACATCCATGGAGACAGGAAAATTAGTTAATGTTTCAGCTCAATGACCTTTCGTCACTGACCTTCGAAATTGAATTGACTGTATTTTGTGGGTGAACACAGCAGCCAATTTGCACACAACAATGTCCCACATTCAGCCATGGAGTGAGTGGCTAATTTTTTATTTGGGGGATTGTTGGCCAGGACACTGGGAGAGACTTCTCTTTGCGAATAGTGCCATGGGCTCTTTAACGTCCACCTGAATAGTGCGGTAAAAGCCACCAGACATTTTTATAATTGCATTTTCATGAAATGATCACTCACTCACACACTCTCTCTCTCTCTCTCTCGACAACAGTTTAAGTAAGCTTATTCTCACTTGTGTCCTAAAGTTTGTGTATAAAATAATAAAAGGATTCGATAGGATAGCTACAGAGAAACTATCGTCTCTGGCGGCGGAATCCGGACAAGGGATTTTAATCTTAAAATTAGAGCTAGGCCATTTAGGAGTGAAATCAGGAAGCACTTTTTCACACAAAGGGTAGTGGAAATATGGAATTATTTCCCCAAAAGGCTATGGATGCTGGACCCATTCAAATTTTCAAGACTGAGGTGGATAGATTTGTTAGGCAGGGTACCAAGGGATATGGGACAAATTGACGTTGAGGTGCAGATCAGCCATGATCTAATAGAATGGCAGAACAGGCTTGAGGGGCTGAATGGCCTACTCCTGTTCTTGAGTTCTTAAAATAATAACAATAATAATCATTGCGTTTGATACAGCCCCTTATCACATCTTCGAGACATCTCAAAGCGCTTCAGAGAATATACTGTAAAGTGAATTGACTGTGTATTTTGTGGGCGAAACACGGCAGCA